CGCTTAGAATCTAGAATACTATGAACCACTGTTTACCCTTGGTAAATTGAATTACCAAACTTCCCTAGAAACCAAAGGATTAAAATACCCTTGTAAGTCTGATTTATGGAATCACTTCAAGAATATATGAATCTTAAATAATCCTGATGTAGTAGATCCTAAATACCCTTATGAAATATTTGAATTCTAAATGATCTAGATGTATCATTTTTCAAATGCCTAACTGATCTATTAGCTATTGAACCCCTTCTAATAGGGATCTCATTTGTTAAATAATTCAAAGTTGACAGAAATTATGTATTCCCTCCTTAGTAATTACTAGGTATCTCCAAGAAATAAACTGGACATTTTAGTGTGTTCGAAGTGTACTTGAGTGTTTTCTCTTATTTGTAACTGAAACTATTTTCTCTATTTTAAAAGTATGATTTTGTTATCTGACATAAAAATACAACCTATGATTTATGTTTCTTGATAAAAAAAAAATATAGTTCATGATCACTAATATTATTGTTGAAACTGATTTTAATGGGGTTGTAACACCCCCAACCCGTATCCGACCCGCATACGAGTCCGAGGTGTCACATTGACTTTCAAACTTTGACTCTTGACAAAATTTAAGGAAAATTTAAAACTTTCATTAAAATAAAAACGGTTTATTTACATGAATTGACTAAAACAATCCAAAATCGATCAGAGCATTCATTACTGACCCTTTTCTTACATGCCAACACTATACACGACAAAAGACATACTTTATCTGTTACTTCTGATCTGATCTTCTAGCAGTGCTGCTGTTCTTACCACCCTATTTCCGCTCATCCTGATTCTTAGTGCCTACGTGTAAATCACTTACACGCTAACTCATAGACTTAGTGAGGCATAATATAACATATAGATATATAACAGTGCATTCATGAACATGCATTCTTACTATCTGATCGTGACATCTTTATTTGCATGCATCTATTTCACTATAACATATATATATGATGATAACATTCACATATAATATTATAATAATTCCACTTTAATTTATCTTTGTATTGCCCATATATATTATTGAGAACAAATGTATGTGAGTACATAGAGGTTGTGCACTATGTTGTCACCACAACTCGTATAATTCCTTTAAGGGGCACTGAATATTTGTCCTGAAGGACCACTGATTGTTCCTAAGAACCACTATGTCCCGAAGGACCACTGTATATGTCCCGAAGGACCACTCCTTAAGAACCATATACATAATACAATGGACCAAATAAGTGTACCAAAGTACCACATATATGTTCCACATAATTACATATATGTCCCGAAGGACCACATAGAACCCTCGACTCTTGGCATGCCAATTATACCTACAGCTCTCATATTAACTCACATGGGCTTAAATATGAATACATTTTTCATTTTCATATCTTTTTCATCACTTTTCATATAAACATATATTTCACTTCATATACACACATGTGATCACTTTCATTATTTCACATACCTGGATTGATCCTCTGACAATTTCATTATTTCATATAATATCATATTAAAGTATAAATTAATTATGCATGAAATCACTGTATCCAATATATATATATGTGGATGCATGTACATGAATATGAAATCATTAATTCAACTATAAGATATAGACTTGATCCTAATCTTTTGTTTGTTCCGGAACGAAATTATGTTTTTTATCTACATAGTAATACATTGATACTAATCAGTATACTAATTAATATATTCTAAACTATCACTCCTTAGGCTAATAAGAAAGATATTTTCAACTTTTAGTGAAGGTATGCATCGATGCACTATATCATGTATTGATGCATCCCTTGACGGGTGCATCGATGCACTATCTATGCATCGGTGCATAAATCTTATTCGATGTTTGTATTTTAAGTAGGTGCATCGATGTACTCCTTATGCATCGATGCACTAATTGCATTCGATGTTCATTTATTTGATAGTGCATCGATACACATTGAATGTGCATCGATGCACACAACCCAGAAATTGTATTTTAATCCCAAAAATCATCAATTCTTCACTCAATTCTTCTCTTTTAAACCCCTATCATGTCATTAAACCCAACCATCATTACTTAACCCAACTTATATCCATGAGAATCATCTTTAACCTCAAAATCCTATCCCTCATATTTAATTCAATAATCATACTCAAATGTCAATATGTTCTAAATACAATTATAACACTTCATATTCCTTAATTAGCATGATGACAAGTCAAATTTAACTTCAAAATCAACTTATCAACTCTTTTCCATAAATTCATTTAAAAACCCATTTTCTTTAATCTCTTATAACTTATTCATCTTTTGATTATAAGACAACTTAAGCTTAGTTATCATCTAATGATCAAAACCTAAACTTTAATTTATCAAATAACCAACTAATCAGAAAACTCACCTTTGCTCTAGCTTGGTTAACGATGGAGAGAAAGGAGAAGGATGAAGAGAACTCTGGAAGCTTTGTTTCCTCTCCCCCTCATTTCTCACGTGTATATATCTCATCCTTATCACCTTTTAATTTATCTATTGGTCAAATGACCATTTTCCCTTCAATTCTCTTAATAATCACTAACAATCCTTCCAGATAAATCATTAAACTATTCAATCATCCTACTTTAATCACCAAATTCTGAAGTTTTACAATTTAGTCACTAACCCGTATTTTGGGATGTTACAGGGGTACTATCTAAGATATGATATGAAGACTCTGTAAGTACAACTCTGATCAAGCAGATAAATTCTTATGGACCTAAGGCGACCCTTAGATAGACTCTTAGGCCAATAAGCTTATGATAAGACCCTATAGACCTAAGACAACTACAAGTTAAAGGAATTGATCTTGTGCTTATATCGACATCAGTAATAGGAGTTCCAATGGCATTACTTGCGGAGTCCGACACATGTAATTAGGGGACATGTAGGTCATATATTATTTTTATATTAGAGTTTGAAATTTATTTTTATACAGTGTACTGTTGAATTCTATTTTGATGATTAAATGATTTCTGAACTTATGTTTTTATCCATAAATTGTTTAATGGTTTTAAATGGTAGAAAAATATTTTCCTCGAATTTTCAGTATGGGTCACTTTGGTAACTCTAATGTGACACCTCAAATTAGATTGAGCCGCCGATATCAATATGAGGGTCTTGTAAGAAAATTAATAGAGAATATTCAGATTGATGCGGAAGTAATAAAAAAAAAGAGAATGACACACAAAAAGACCGAAAAAGAATTTGAGTGAACTTCAATAAAAAAATTCTTGAATATTCTTAATTTAGAAAGCAAAAATAAACACTAAAATAAATAAATAAGTGGAATCTTTTTTCTTATCCCCTCAGTTATGCCTTTAGCAAAGATGAAAAGATAAATTTTTAAAGCTTTTTAGTGTCAGTATGATTTGTATTTTGTTTGTAATGATTTACTTTTAAGGTTACAAATTAACGACCTTTATCTGAAAAGTTTTTAAAACCCCACAAATTCACCTTTTTTATTTTTAAAATTAAAAAAAAACCATACTTTTTCTGACATTATTACATTTACATTTGTCTTGCTTACATAGTGTTTCCTTTTTTTCTTCCTTGCTGCTCAACACTCCATAAATAAAATCAAGGTAGAAATGAAAGTAATTCAAAAAAAAAAAAATTCTTTTTGGCACAAACAAAAGTGATATTGGTTAAGGAATTATTGTTATTTTTTGAGGTTTTAGGTTTAAGCACAAAGTATGGATGGATATATGAACTTTTGATTTCAAATGGTTTAGAGTCTTTGAACATATACTACATTGTATTCACTTAGAGTAATAATAAAAAAATTTATTTTGATTTTGGATTCCTACTGTTACTTTCAAAGGTTGAATTCAATATAATATTTAGTAATATCAAAATTCGAATATCAATATATATAATAGTTACTCTTAAAACATGCAATTCAATTGTCTTATACTTCAAATTTTAACATCTATAATCAGTAAATAAAATTAAAGTAAACTCGAGAAAATAACGAGAGAAATTAGTTTTCAACAAAGTTTATTCGAACTGAATATATTTTTAATGATGAAATGCAATAAATTTAGGGTTCGAATCGTAACATTATATTATTTTTAGATTTTTGAATGAGAGTTTATTTCTTTATAGAAGAAATTAAAGTTGAATTAAAGTACTTTAAAAACAGTTGAGCCTTAAAACAGTTTACCAAGACACTTTTAAGGACCACAAGAAGTAGAATTATATCTTACCTGGAATTACTTGATTCATCATATAATTATATATTAAAGAACCATACCTAAAACGGTCCCCTGCAGCACATCTTATTGGCAGTCCATGCCATACATGTAACAATAATCCCTCGCTCCGTTAAATTGGACCGGATGTTCAAACGGAAAATCCGATAACGATTCAAACTCGTGTGGTCCATGTTGTTCGGATTTTTCATTTTTGTAACGCCTTTCTCATATGGTATGAAAATAACTCGGGAAAAAGCTGAATAAACGTTACCATATTGGGTTCGGATAAGACGTTTCACACTCGACTCCGAGTAACATACAATAAGAACCATTGCATAAAGGCAATGTACTACAAAACTTGCTAAATGCCAATGTCTGAGACAAAAAATCGAAACAATACCTTTGTAATGAGAAATCTGTAACAATGGCTAACAAAAAAACTGTGTCCACGGTCTATTATCTGACATTGGCCTATTTGTACTCAGCATACTAAAAACCTGCAGAAAACAGCCAATTTCACTCAACCAATCCCTATAGGCCTTCAAACCCAATACAAAACACAACAAATACATGAAAAAGAACAAAATAAATAAATATGAGAGAGAAATGTATATGTATATACAGCTCAAAATCCATCCCCACCATTGATCACAGCTCAACAATATTCAAAAGAAAATAAATTCATGCAAAAACAGGCAATATATTTAAAAGAAGATAATTAAATAACTGGTTTTAGCAGAGCTGTTAACATTCATTAGTGTATCTCTGTGGGTGGGTGTATATATATACATATATGTATTTCTATATTTTAAGGAGAGAAATCAATTGAGAATATCCTGTCATGGAAACTTGGGAGCCAATTATACTTTTTGGCTAGGAGCAAGCAGTGTCATGTTTGGTGCAGCTGTCATGACCCCATCAATGGAAGACTCTTCAATCTCTCTCTACTAAAATAGGTATTCCCCTTCATTTACTTTCCAGATCAGATAGAAAAAAAGGGGGCAACAGACTTGTATTTGATACACTGATGTAAGTGATGATAAATAACCTTTTTTTTTCTTTTGATCCCCCCTTCAACTTCAATAATTATGTCTTCCAGCACCTGTCCAAATAAAGTCGCTTTCTTGCCTGTAAACATCTACTCACAGTGATACAAAAAACATTTACAGTTTGCACATTAACAGTTCCCATATATGCATTTCATTTTTACTTCTGGGGTCCATTGATATCCACCATCACTTTTGGTTGACAGCAAGTTCTTGCCATAGATTAAAACCTTTTTGTTTCAGCTTTATGTTTTGAGTTACAGATTCTGGGTGTTCTGAGAATCAATGCCAAATATATACCAAAAATAAGTCCATCACCAGTAAGTGTATGAGGCCATAACTTCTGGATCGAGTTTCGCTGTTTGTTTTTCAGGATCAACCTCTAAAACTACAAAAGCAAACAGAATTTTTTATTTTTTTTTTGGTTAAAAAAAGGGTTTTTATGGACAGGATGATCTTCAGTGATATGGCCTTTTCATTGTCACTTTGTTGAGATGCACGATATTGAACTCAAATGTGAGTACTTTGAAAGCAAATGAGTTGTCTTATGATCTGTCATTCATATTTCAGCAGCACTGAACCTTACCAAACATCAAATACCAGCCAGTTTGCTTTCTGAATACTTGTCGGCACTGAAAGTACTATCAGCGTTGCTCAATTGCTTTCATAAGGACCACTTGATCTCCGGTTCCTGCAACAGGTAAAGAATGTTGAGTTCCCAAATCTCAAAGTTAATAGTTCAATTTCACAATTACATTGTTCTTCATTGTCGCAGATTCGACAATTTGACTGATTGTTCTATTGTTTTTTCTTATCACAGATTCAATGGTAAGTAAGGAAGATGTCAATGATTGTGATAATAATTTGTGGAGCTGCAGGGGCGCTTGTGTTCGTGGCTGTAATCGTAGGATTCATTTGGTTTTATAAATCATGTAAGAACTTCTCGAAAAGAAATTCCGAGACAGGCTCCTCGGATCCTTCTGCATTAAGTAAGGCTTCGCTGCAACAAACTTGCAGTAATCACTGTGGTTCATGCTACAGTTTTCGAGTTGATATTTTCACTAACTACGGCTCCAACATTGCAGTGGAGTGGAATAAAGGAGCTGGACTTAGTTCATCAGCTGGACCACAAGGAGCAAGGCAGTTCAGACTGGAAGAGTTGGAACAAGCTACCAAGCAATTTGCCGATAGTAATCTCATCGGATTCGGAAGCTTCGGTCCAGTTTATAAAGGTTGGATTCGTGACAATGTTGTGGTTATAAAAAGACATCAAGGTGCTCCAAGAGAGGAGTTCAATGCAGGGGTAAAACCAGTTCTTCTAATTTACATATCTTGTATCTAATATATATCTGTGTCAAGTACATTACAACTTGGAAATCCCTCATCCCCTATGAAATTATTATAACCTTTTCAAATGGTTCTTTATGTCAACAATTTGATCCAAAAAGCCATTTCCCAGGTAATGATATAAGTTAGTTGAGATTTATGAATATGCTACTTGCAGACACTTGATGAAGTTGATTTTAACTGTCGGTGCTTCTTTTATTTATCTCTAATATCTCCGAACTCAAACAATTCAAATAGAAAATGACATGTTAAGAGTGTCACACAGGCAATCTATCTGTCAGAGATTCGGCATCGAAATTTGGTAACTCTTCTAGGCTACTGTCAAGAAAGAGGATCTCAAATATTGGTTTATGAATGTATACCTAATGGAAGCATGTGCAATCATCTATACGGTATGACTCATTAAAAACATAGTTTTTCGTAATCATCAATGCAAATGATACATTCGTCTGTGTTTTGGCAGATACTGGACGAGAGGCTCCGACCAGACTAGAGTTCAAGCAGAGGTTATCAATAGCTCTGGGGGCTGCTAGAGGTAAATCTGAAGAAAAAGAATGAAGGAATACTATACTAATACTAGTTTCAAACTGAGGAAATTGTGTTTCCTCAATGCAGGTTTATGCCATTTGCATAGCCTGATACCTCCTTTGATACATAAGAATTTCAAAACGGCCAATGTCTTGGTTGACGAGAACTTCACCGCTAAGGTTGCAGATGCAGGGATCACAATGTTACTAGAAAAGATAGAAGAAGCAGGTCCATCTCAAGGTTCTAGGATCAATGTTTTCCGAGATCCAGAGTAAATTGATTTCTTCTGATGCAATTTGCGTTACTGTTGTGGAAAGGGAAACCTTAACCTATATACTTAGTTTATCCTGTGCATTGATGTCAGGGTGGAAGCATTGGGAAGCCTCACAGAAATGAGTGATGTCTACAGCTTCGGGGTGTTTCTTATGGAGCTCATAACTGGAAGGGATGAGGCTGTGCACATCGATTACCTACGATCCAATGACAGCTTAATTCAGTTGGTAAGCAGACTAGTCCCTTGGTTTACTAGGAGAATCCCTAAATATGATATATATATATAGATATCATATTTCTGCTAATGCATGTGTTTACCTATTGAAGGTACAATCACAGCTGAGTTCCAATGAATTGGTGGATCGTCGACTTGCTGGAAGCTTTACCATGGATGGCATTAAGGATGTGATCAAGCTGACACTAAAATGCATGTGTTTTCCTGGAAAACGGAGGCTGAATATGAATATGATTGTGGAGGAGCTCGAAAGGATCAATGAAAAAGAGATGGAACTGACTACAGTCACGGGTGAAGGTACTTCAAAAATTACTCTAGGCAGTGAGCTATTTGCTTCAAAATAAAGAGGGGATTCCAGTGGAGTCTGTTAAACTATGGCCAAGCTTAGGCTTACAAAGTAATTAGGAAAAAAGAAGAAAACATGAACAGTTTATAAGGAAACAAAAAGGGGGTAGCTGGGTATGGGTACTGATAGTGAAGCTACTGTAAAGGAATGGAAATGTACATTATGGATTTGATTTTCCAAATGATGCATAACATGATCAGTGATATTAATATCTCAAGAAATTATGAACTTTCTGCATAATTGTCATAATCAGCAATGATATGGCCATCCATGCAAACCGAAAAGGAATGTAACAGATGACCCAAATGCATGTGTGGTATTTGAAAGGATAGATTCCATACTCTATATTTGCAATAGCTTCTTCCCCTTGCTCTAGATGCCTGTAAAGAAGCACCAAAACAACACAGCAGGTGATTAAGCTCTTTGAACAGTCACAGAAGTACATAAACATGTAGGATATGCTTAGGAACATTATGATGCCGATCATGAAGGTCAAAGTTATAAAAAAAAGGACTATAAATTCTCGATGACTTGACAAGAAACAACTATTCTTGCATAGTGTTAAATGTTTTCCCATTGGTCATGCTATACATTTTTTTCAAAGCTACGCATTCCATATACTGAAAATAAGCACGTCATTTACAAAAGACAAAATCGCAATTTAGGACATTATGAAGAGATTCTCAAGAACAATGTTGAACTTCCTAAGGGGATCCTAGCAAATAAAGGTGAGGTGAATGGTGCTTATATGGCCCTGACTGTCTCACAATGCTAAAAGTTATTTTGGCGCAAGCAGTTCAAATCAATGCAGTGGATAGAGACGGGAAAGGAACGATTATGACAAATCTTCCCCTCTCTCCTTTCATTTCATGTGTAAACATGGGGACCATGTGCCTAGATCCTTCAAATATACTTCAGGTGATAATTTCGAAATGACTTGACAAATGACTCGGAACTGGTAGTGAATCTTTGTAAACTACATCATGGATCGATTACAGTTTGAGGGGGAAAGAAGAAAAGATGATTTTCTCTATAAGTGAAAGGTGACTTAAGCTAAAACACTAATCTATTAGCTCTGCATCGTAGATCATATACAATATGATCATATTTTTATTGAGCCTTTTATAATCACACATTCGGTTTTTTGACTTCGAACATTGACATCCAGAATGGCTTATCGGTTTGTACCTCCTGCTGCTTTTCTCATAGTAAATTCGGTTTCCCTTTCTTGTTATATCATCAATACTTGTAGGCCATCTAAAACAGAATCGGAGAGGGCCAAACATGATAACAAACGATTCCTAGCTCTTTAGCCCACCACAAGTTAGATTGTCCCCTCTTTGTCCAACGAAGATCCGCGAGGATTCTGGGGATGAAGGGTCCATAAAGATTTCACATTACCCTACTAAAATTCCTTCTTTTTTTCACTATCATTTTCAACCACGGTAAATTTTACTGATACGCAAACACACACACACACATATATGTCCACTCATTTTCAACACAGTGAAAAACAAACCTGACAAGTTGTGCTATTTAATATGGGATAGGCATATCCCTACTTGAAAAATGAAGGAGAATTACCATCAAACACAAGGTGGGCACTGCTCTTTGCCTGTTGAAACAACACAAAAAATAACTTATCAAACACAAAATAAAACCACCTGGGATATTGACAAGAACATAGCTGTAAAATCAAATCAATACCCAGATCATTTAGTCAAATTAAAAATAAAAATCAATACCTAGATCATAAAAGCCATTGAATGGTTCATCCACTACAGGTACAGACACGATTATCAATTATATAACTGAACATAAATGAACCAAAAAATAAATAAAAACTTCAAATTCTTAAGGCATAAATGAAGTTACCTGAATGCTGAAGAGCGATGACAATTGGACAAAGCCTCTAACACTGTAACTAGATTTAAATTAATATTATGTTATGTACAAATACGAATTTTTCTTGTATCCATACGAATCATATTAAGCATAATCATTATATTATAGTTTTATGTTATATACAAATGCATATACATACAATACCCAAATTGATTACTGATTTTATTTGATTTGTTTTCTAAAAAAAATGTTATTTGATTCCATAACTGTCTGAAATTGTTTTAATTAAAATTGAACAGTGTATAAATTCAGATGAATTGTTCAATTGAGGTCGTATTATTGTATAACTAAGTCCGGACATCTTAATGATAATGAAATTGAAAATGTTATCGGTTTAAGAATTGTACTGTTGTACATATATAAACTAATGGTTAATTGAGTTAGTATATTTGCTCAGTTAGCTTCTTTAGATTATTAGTTCTAGACCTACTAGTAGCATTCTCTTTCTTTTCCCTAGAGTCTCTCCTCTCCTTCCTTTTAGGTAGATTAGAATTAAATCAGTATAACCTACACAAAATGTGTCTAAAAAAGATCGTTCTTTTATATCACATGAGATACTATGTACACAGAAAAAAAAATGCCCATCTTTCAAGGCAATGGGCTCTCTTCCTCCCCTCTTGACCTCATTTGGATTTAGATAGAGAAAATTTTTAGAATAAGCTCAGATTGACCCGTAATTTCCAGTCTATATATATATATATAAAAGTAAATATTAATCATCGATAAAATCTCTTCATTTTTACCATCCAAATTACCATGAATTGTCACTCTACATGTTATTTGTAAACATTTTTTTTGGATAATTCAAAATTTTATTATCCAAATAGCAAAATGCTACAAAATACAACCAAGGTTCGTATACCAAACAATTACTTACATACAAAAATCAGAGATCATTTATACCCCATTGATTGTAGAGAGTAAAATTTACATTATCTACTCTATTGAAACTCCTATCCTTTAGTTGGATACATACAATTTCTTTGATGGTCTTAAGCAGATAAGAAGCATTCCTTGAACGACCTTGGAACAGTCGTTTACACCTTTCTTCCCATAGCAAATATACCAGAGCATTAAAAGCAAGTCTCGTAACAAAGGAAAGCATTGATTTACCTTTCCAATTAATGCACGCCAAAGCCAAAAAATCTTCCCAAGAACAAGCTGTAAAAGATAAACCAGAAAATGAAAAGATTTGCTCCCACAACAAAACAACAGTTGGACAAAGTAGGAAAAGATGATCTATTGTTTCCATGTCAGAGCTGCAAAAGACGCATATGCTCTCATTGATAATCCCTATTCGTTGGAGACGTTCCTTGGTTGGAAGCTTATCGAGCAAGGTCATCCAAGTTATCAGACTATGCTTTGGTATGTGCAAGGGATGACAAACAAGTTTTTGCCATGGAACCTTCTGCTTTTTTTTCCGAATTGAATCTCATATGGAGCTTGCTGAATTAGCACCTGTAGAAAGGAGGTTACACACCTTTGGTCTCAAATTCAAGAGTTTTCTAAAGCACCAGCTTGTGGTGGATTTTACTTCCACTGACCAGAAGTCTTTGTCCTTTAAAACATATTTTTTGGAGCCATGTTACCCATAAGGAGCCTTCACCAACAAGGATTTGTTTGATTAAGGTGAACATACAAGCCTTGTTCCATGTCTTCATGTCTTTAATTCCGAGGCCCCCTTCTGACTTTAAGGAGTAGATTTTGTTCCAGCTCACACGTGCTCCTAAACCTGATTTATCTGATCTTTTTCCAGAAGAAGCGGGAACATAGATGTTCAATTTTTTTCAAGACGGAGTAAGGCAGGAAGAGTTGCCTGCACCAGAAGTTGGAAATTGAAGATAGAACAGTTCGGATTAGCTCTAGCCGTCCTGCATAGCTGAGCATTTTACTGGACCAATGAAGCAATCTTGATTTAATGTTATCAATCTCACTGGAAAATAGCCAAGTTTGAATCCAGTAGACTGATTAATACTCTCAATAGTTCCCCAGGACATTCCTGCAGTAAAGAATTCACTTTTGGAGGCATTAAGTTGAAGTCCTGACATCTCATAAAATTTTTCCAGAACACTAGTAACACTGATGACTGAATCAACTGATCCCTTGTAAAAAATAAGAAGATCATATGCAAAAGATAAATGAGTCAAGTTTATTCTTTTACACTTAGGGTGAAAGCCAAAGATACCCTTTGTAGCAGCTAAATCAAGAAGAAAAGAGAAGACATTCATGGAGAGGACAAATAGAAGGGGAAAAAGGGGATCCCATTGTTTAAGGCCTTTAGCTCCCTTAAAGTACCCAGACAAACTCCCATTAATGGAGACAGAGTAGCTTGCTATAGAGAAACAAGTTTCGATCCAAGTGATGAAGATCATTGGGAGACCGATTGCCTTCAAGATAACAGAAATAAAACTCCAATCGAGTGAATCAAAAGCTTTATGAAGGTCAATCTTCAGAGAGCATATGGGAGACAGATTTTTCCTGCTATAACCTCTAACCAATTCCTGTGCAAGGAGAGTGTTTTCAATGATGCTTATTCCTTTCACAAAAGTTGTTTGATTAAGAGTAACTAACTCAGCCATAATACAATTTAATCTTCTTACTAGAATCTTTGAAATGGCTTTGTAGATTACAGAACAACAAGAGATTGGTCTGAATTCTTTTACCTTACTTAGGTTAGAAATCTTAGGAATCAATGCAATGACAGTAGCATTGAAGGCAAGAAGAAAAAATGAATCTTGAAAGAATTGGGAAATTGCAGCATTAATGTCTCTTTCAATAATAGGCCAGGTCTTTTTAAAAAAGAGTGGGGAGAAACCATATAGACCCGGAGATTTCTCGTTACCTTGACTGAAGAATGCCTCTTTAATTTTTTTCTTTAGTGACTTCCTTAACAAGTGCATCAGCCTTATCAGCAGGCAAATTGAAGTGAAATAGGTTCTTCAACAGAGTTGGATCAGTTACCTTTACTGCAGGATCAGCTTTTCCAAGTAAATTAGAGAAGTAATTAATGACCTCTGTTGAAATCTGATCGTAAGTTTCCAGTCTATTTCCTTGTTCGTCAATGAGAATGTGTATTGTGTCTCTTTTATTTTTTAGGGCAAAAGTGGAATGAAATAGTTTGGTGCATTTATCCCCCTCTTTTAGCCATTGAATTCTTTCTTTCTACCTGAAAAATAGAGCTTCTGCTTCCTCAAGAATTTTCAGCTCATTCTGGAGAATAATTTCTTTTTCAATGCCATCATCGCCTCGAAGAGTCCTTAATTGTTGAAGATCAAGGTCGATTTTTTTTTGTTTAACTCTGGTAGGAAGGTCACTGTAAGAAGCTTGATTAAGAGCCTTGAGACATGCTTTCACCCTCCTTAATTTAGTGAAAAGATACTGCATCAAGTTACCATAGGTAGGAATTTGCCAGGTTTGGTTAATCACTTCTAGGAAGTTAGGGTGCTTTGTCCAGTAGTTAAAAAACTTAAACGGTTTTGGTATGTTAGCTTTTACTTCCTTTTTGAGCCAAACTTTTGCGAAACAGTGATCTAAAATTCCTGGAGCTAGGAACTCAACATGGGAATCTTGGAATGAGGTAGCCCATTTGGAATTTATTAAGACTCAATCTAGTTTCCTTGCGAGGAATATGTTTTTCTGCTTGTTACTCCATGTTAGTAAAGGGCCGAAGAAAGGATGATCGAAGAGTTCCAGGTCCAAAAGAGGATCCTGGAAATCTTTCATGTCAGAAGAAATTATAGGACCTAGGATGTCACAATCTGAACTTTCATTCGGGTGGAGAATAATATTGAAATCTCTACCTAAAATCCAAGGATGATGCCCTATTTTAGAATCCAATTCGTAAAGCTTTTGCCAAATGAGTCTTCTATCTTTGCCATCATTACTTCCATAAACTGAAGTAATGACCAAGGGAGCGTTTTGATACAGGCCTTGAATCGAGATATACTGGTCAGAAACTTGGATAAGCGAGAAGCTTAAGTATTTTTTCAAGATGGTCCATATCTTCCATTAGAGGCATAATCATAGTTTGAATGGGTAATCCAATCAACAAACTTTTTTCTAAGGATTGCAGCAGATTTTTCTTCTTTCACTCTAGTTTTCAGCATACAAAAAACATCAACTTTATTAAGAATAGCTCTTCTAATAACTTTGTCTTATTTAAGAGGACAATTAAGTCCTCTCACATTCCAAAAAGCGATGATCATTTAGAAGGAGTAGCTAGTGTTCCCCCACCAGCACTATCAACTTTTATCTTTGGCTTGTCCAGTTTAATTTTCTTTTTTGACTTCAGGTCCTTTACTATGACAACCACTCCTAGAGAAGAAGCACGAGGTTTCTTTGGAGGGTCTTCTATTATCGAATTGAATTCCTTGATTTCATTATGAACTTGGAATCTATTTGTAGAATATGTTGTGTTCAGTTTTTCTTTATCTTTTGACGGTCTTCCCCTTCCCCTTTTAGGAATATTAGACGAGAGATCTCATTTTCTCTTAAAGGTGGGAGCAGGAATAGAGAGGTCCCTATCAGAGTGATTAGGATGAGTTGTATCCTGATCTGATAGATTCTTCAATGCTTCTTCAGTTATGGCTCATTGACCGGTATCATCAGTAGGGGAAATGATATGCTGCTCCACTTCTTTTCCTTTAGATTTTATAGTGTATTCTTCTATAATAGCATTCTCAATGATGGGGGATGAGACATCTTTTTCTTGTAATAGTTCGATCCCACCTACAGAGGGTAAAACCTCTGTTACAAGTGTAGAAGTCTCTTTAATCCTCCAAACCTGATTTTTTGCTTGAGAAGAGATCTTGGATAACAAGCAGCTTTTTTCGTTGTAACCAAAGGTCTTATAGGTTTTACACCTTGCTGGCATCCAAGGTATTTCAACAGCAACAGTAGCTTTTATCCATTCTTTTAAC